ATAATAAATTATTTATATATATATATGAATATTTGTGAGATTATTGAATGATTCTAGCTTTTCAATATTTTAAAAACTGATCAACAGATTTATAATACTTCAAACAAATAATTCATTGAAATGCATTGTGAAAAAGAAATTAGGTAAAATATGAAAAAAGTTACGTAAAATTTTTTTACGTAAAAAGTAACGTAAAATAGTATGAAAAAAATTACGTAAAACGACCGTATGGAAAAAGTTACGTAAAATGATCGTATCAATAAGTAGGTTTGGAAATTATCCAAGCAAAATATATTTCATCCAAATTGTTCTAATCATATAAATTAATTATGCAATTAATTCTCAAAAATAGAAATATGATATAAACAAATGATGTTCAAAAGTATGCTTTCAAATGTTTATCATATCTAAAGAGCAAAGAAGAAAACAAAAGCAAATGCAACTTTACATTATTTAAAAACTGATAATTAAGTAATTAAGTATTCCTAAACAAGCTATTATCATCAAGTTAGTTCTTTAAATAAGCTACTATAATCACCAAGTTAGTTTTTATTTATCCTAAAAAGAAATATGAAATGTTTTAAATAAGCTGTTATTATCAAGTTAATTTTCATTTGATAGGAATATTTCAAAAAATGAAACATTCATCAACAAAATTAATGTAATCAATATTCTCGAAGGGAAATGCTACGACGAATGTTGCAAAAGCTTAAAAGAAATAAGCAAAGAAATATTATTTTTAGGCTAAAAAATATTCGTTATTTTTTTGTGCATTTTTTTTAATTTTTTTTAATCATTTTTTAGGAATTATCAAAATTTGATACGTGAAATTTTGGAAGTATATTATATTACGAAATGATATAATCATTTAGTTTCTTTTGTCCTAAAAATGATAAGAAAAAATATTTTGAAATAATTAAGATAATTAAGTAAATAAGTTAAGGAAGTAAAAAAGTGATAATTAAGTAAATAAGTAATTCTAATTCTTTTTTAACATTTTTTAGGAAATATCAAAATTTAATATATGAAATTTTAGAAATATATTGTAATACGAAATGATATAATTATTTCTTTTTTGTTAAAATATGAAATGATATAATTATTTAGCTTTTATCCAAAAAATAATAAGAAAGAGCATTTTGCAAAAAAATGAGATAATGAAGTAAATAAATTAAGATAATTAAATAAATAAGTAATTCTAATTTTTTTTAATCATTTTTAGGAAATATCAAAATTTAATATATGAAATTTTAGAAATATATTATAATATGAAATGATATAATTATTTAGTTTTTGTTCTAAATACGATAAAAAATATTTTGCAATAACTAAGATAATTAAGTAAATAAGTTAAGATAATTAAGTAAATAAGTAATTCTAAAGAGAAAATTATTCGCTTTTTTTGTTAGAAATATAATATTTTAAAACCTAATATGTAAATTTTTTTTTCATGCATAAATTTTTCATTTATTATTTCATTTAAAAATTATTAATGAATGAAATAAGTTTTAGGATCGTAATCGATTTTGGGATCGATGCGTGCAAATAGTAAATGAACGAAGTGCCGATATGTTACGACTTAATTCATCATCAACTTATTTTACCGAAGTATTTGCTGAATTAAAACATTATGCTTTAGATGGATAATAATTAAATTTATCGATAATAAATGAGTAAGATTGTTTTTTCATTTTTTTTAATTGCAAAAGTTGCAAAAAAAAGTTTTTGTTTATTTTTTTCATATTTATTATATTTTTTAAAGGAATATTTAATTCAATCTTTTTTCCTAGTTTTTATTTCGTTTTTAATTATAAGTATAATTAATAAAGTTAATCAATATTTTATAATTAATTTTGATATAAAATTATTGCATAAAATTAGGAAAGCTTTAAATATGAATTAACGATAATTTCAATTTTTAATTGAATTTTAATTTTTATAAATTTTTTTTCACTTTTCGATTTTTCAATTTCTATTTTATTTTTAATTTTTTAATTTCTAATTTTATAACAATTTTTCTTTCTTTTTCATTGTTATTTCTTTTCCATATGCTTTTCGCTTAACTATAATTAATAAAGTTAATCAATAATTTATAGTATCACGAATTTATTAGGTAACCTGTTGCAATTGTACTTGTGTTGTGAATTTATTTTTTAAATTTTAACAATTTTTTAAATTTCTTCCTAAATTTTTTTCCATTGTATTATTATCCATTTCAAGTTGATTTTTCATTTTTTTTCCCTAGCAAAATATTTGCTAATATTTATATATTTCAGATTATTTTATGATTATATCAATTTTTACGTATACGTGAGAAATCGCTAGTTAATCCGTGAAACTGCTGAAATTACGATTGATATTTTGATTGTCAAAATGACGAAACTATACAAACCATATAGAAATGGTGCTATTCCATTAAGGAAGTAATTTGAATAATTGAAAATTTTTTAAAATTAAAAGTGAAAAAAGTTATTGCTGTTTTTTCTCTGCAATTCAGTTCTGTTGCATATCGATGGAATATTTCTTTTAGCTTAAAGTAATGTTAGCATATGATGAAAGTTGAAAACTTAAAAATTAATCAAAACATCGAAAAATATTTGATGATAGTTTTGATATATAGTTTTGATATATATACATTTCGAAATGATAGTTGATATCATTTGATATCATTTCAAACTAAGGTATCATTTCGAAATGAGAGCTTTTCGAATATTAAATAAAAAAGAGCGATGAATTTAAAAGAAGAAAAGTTTAATTTTTAAACGATAAATTTTTTCCTATCAGAAATAAAGTAATTTTCAAAAACAAAAAATTAAATTAAAACATTAGTGAGAGAAAAGAAAGGAACGATTAGTAATTAATTTTCGATTATCATTAATGCAATTTATTCATGCTCAGATATATTTATTTCATTTGAATTCTTTACTATATATTCGATAATAGTGATATCTGCTTTTTTGGAATTTGATTTTACAAGAAATGTTTAGTTGTGATCACTTTGTCAAAATATTATTTGAGAATATATTAAATTATAAAATGGAATAATTAAATGATTAAATTTGAATAAAAAAATTTCGACAAAATTATTAGCAATAAATCGAAAATCGATCATTTGTTTTTTAGTAATCTAATTTGTATTCAATTACTGAATGATAAAATTAATTAAAACTGAATAATAAAATTAATTAAAACTGAATAATAAAATTAATGTATACATCTTCATTAACATATCTTTATTTTGTTCTATTAAGTAGTTGATTAAAAAATTTTGAGCATACGAAAAATCAATTAAATTTTTTAATTTAGAAATTTATCAATAAATGATAATTGTTATTTTTTTGATCTCATCAATATTTCAATAATAATCATTTCTATTCTAATGAATGTTATAATTTCATATCAAATATTTTCATTTCAATAAGATATATTCGAAATCGAAATGGATATAGCATTTGAGAAATGCGATAATATTTCGAAAAATGCGATAACATTTCGACTAATTAATTTTAGAAAATATTAAATGATTGTTCATTTTTCCCTATTAATTAACTTTTGAACATTTTAATTAATTTATAAAAAATATATTATATTATAATTAATATAAACTATTTGTAATTTTAATATTAGCCTTATTCTCGTAATAAATTTAGGTAATATTTCCAAAATATTAAAATTTCTATCCAACTATGAACTCGTTTTTTCACCTTTTTCATCCATAGAAAAATTGAGCAAATTTGCAGAAATGATAATTGACAGCTGAAAAGAGCAAAAATATTATTGATTCATATATACATATATATATATATATATATACTTTAAAGGATAATTGACAGCGGAAATATACACTTTTTTCTGTTTTTTCGGATTGAAAAAATTCTTCAATTTAAAAAAATTTAGAAGGATAAAATTTCACGTATTATTCAGTTTCAACGATCGCATAGGCTGATCAGTTAATGTTGGAAGATTTTCATGCTTTTCTTTTGTTTGTTGTAAAGTTTCATCATTTTTAATGAGAACCATTCCTCTGCGAAATTGTTAAAAAAAAACAAATTAAATTTATCCTTTTTATTTGACTAATTTTCCGGTAGTAGCTGTATATAACTTATTTCAGTATTTCAATTACTTCAATTACTTTCTATTATTTACAACAGTGTTGTTGGTTGCGAAACTAATTGCAGTTCTATGTAGATTTTCGGTTACATAATGATTTCCGGAAAATGGATCTCATTGCACTAAAACAATTCTACTTAAGATAAGATAAGGAATGAGCTTATATCTCGAAAATCTTTTTGTTGTATGATTGATCAAAAATGAATGAAATGATCAATATTGATCGATTGTAGTATTAAATTGATATCATAAGTGTAGTATTTTTGTTTGGTTATATATAATAAATTTCGTTTGTTTGTTTAAGCGCAAAAAAACGTGTATGAGAGAGACATTATTTCACGTAACATTTTTTTTGATGAATTCATTGCTTTGTAATAATTGTATTATATAAATGCGTGCTCTGATATTCTCTGATGCTAAAAGTGCTTCCAATATTCGTATAAATGCTTTATATTGTATTATAACTGCCGCAAATAAAGCTATTCAAATTATAAACAATATCAATTTAACGTAATGTAACTCACGTAAAATAATGAAGCGACGTGAATAACGCAAAGTAGTGAAGTGACGTGAATAACGCAAAATAGTGAGGTGAAGTGAATAACTCACGTAAAATAGTGATGTGACATGAATAACTCACGTAGAATAGTGAAGTGGCGTCAATAACACACGCAAAATAGTGAAGGGACGTGAAAGTTAAGTAAAATAGTGAAGTGACGTGAACATAATATATTATAAACGGTCATTAATTTATTAATTATTGGTTCAAACTAAGATAGTCTTTCATAAATTGTAGAAGCATAATTTTTTTGCTTATCATATACATATAAATAAAGCATAATAGATACATTTAGCAATGTTTCCCCTACAAAACACATTGCGATTGCATCTTATTACTTGCAAATTTGTTTTGAATATTAGTATTTGCACGTAGAGTATTAATGAATGTTACGGTATGTAATTGCATCATTCATATTGCATCCATTCTTCAACAACAACAACAACAACAACAACAACGACAACAACAATAACAACAATTCCCTTCAATCGATATTACACTCAATTTGCACGTAACACGAAAAACGTGTTATGCCTTCTCAAAATGAAAACATTTATTGTTATCATCATCTAATGTACATTTTATCATCGTTTCAATTTTGCACAAAAATATTTTTTTTACATTCACTCTATTTGTCTTAACCCTCTCCGCATGCATGTCACGCATGCGTACACATATACATACACACACGTACATACATACATGCACGCAAAATGCACATATGCACAGACACACCCACAAACAAACACACACAAACACATATAGCATATATATATATGTGTGCATAGCAGCGATCATAATCGTGCAGTAGCAGAATTTCACTAACATATCATTTTGTACGTTGTAAGTTAGCATGTTTTGCTTATTCATTAGAGTTTCCGGGATTGCTTCATTGTTTGATTTCCAGGTCTCTATATTGCTCTGTGGGTATTGATTTCCGGATTGCTATGTTATTTTATTGGGTCTCGGCTTTCAAATCGTTATATTGCTTTGTATGATTTCCTGAATAATTAGTGTATGTTTGATTTCCCCGAATAATTAGTATATTTCTTTTGCATTGCATGATTTCCTGAATAGTATGTTGATTGATGTTTTTGGTTGGCAATTGAGAATGTTTAAGTAATAGCACAAGAGTACCAGAGAGTACCATACATATATTCATCTCTATTTCATGGACTATCAGATTTTTCAACGTCGTTTTATTAATGAGTGGCCGAAATTCTGAAGATTTTGGAAGCTCCAAGTAGTGCAGGAAGATAATCTTAATAGCTGTAGCAGTTCGTGGGAAGTCAGTTTAATCGATAATCCGACTATTGAATGAAATCAACTTCTTTCCTTCACTTCCTAATTTCCGTTTTTCAGCATATATTCCAAGCATGTAGCTGTATTGCTATATGCAATTGCACAATCTATCATCACATTGCATTCAATATTCAAGTTTATTCTGATGGCCTCTTCAATACTAGTAATAATACATATCCGTTTGTTTCATTTGCTATATTATATGTGAAATACTTACTTACATATTAAATGGAGTTGCAACACGTATTGCTACGATATAGTCTGTTCTCCTTTTTTTTCCCTTGGAAATATTTTCAGTACATTTTGTAGGTGATTCAATCTGGCAGTGCCAAATGGAACAAATCGAAACAGCTGGCGGTTCAGAAGCAATTTTTGAACTGATCAATATTATACGACAAGATCCGAGCATTTGGGATCGAACATCCACTACCTATATTACCCATTTCGATTTGAAAATTCATCGATTTGCTGAAATTGCGGAACAACTCAATTTGGAAGTTGGTTGGTACATTCCTTCCTTGATAATAGTATCTTTTTTAAATGAGATATTAAGATTACTTTATTTCATGTCATTCCGTACTCATCATTGCTTAAACACTGTAGAAGTATTCTTTTTGACTGCTGTTTGTCACATTAATTGGAAAAAAGAACAATGGCGTTGAAAATATCTATATATGTAATTAATACTTATGCAAAGTGATGGGTCGTTCTTATTGAAGCTGCGTAGGATTTTTTGCTTCCGGAACTTACCCTTTTTGGAAATTGAGCTGATTCAGTAGCATAAGATAATCCTCTTGATCATAGAAACGACATTTAATTCTAATAATCAAAAAATGAGCACTCACGTGTCGATTTTTGTTTTTTTGCCATTTCAGTTACGGCCGAAGTCGTGGCATCAGCATGGCGAGAATTGAGTGAGAAATATCGTCGACGGTTGTATGATGGTAAACGTCGGAATGGTGCAACAAATTGGCCGTATTTCGAAGCAATGAGCTTTTTACGAGATCAGTATGAGTAAGAATTGTTTTTAAGTTTTATCGACATTAAAAATTTTTCTTGGCAACTATTTAAATGAATTTAACTGTTCCATAATTTGACGTTTTACAACATTGATTATTGAAGATGGTTGTAATAACGGTCATCACAACCACGTATCTGATTTATACGATATAGCTGCGACCAATACGAATACCTTCTCCACATGTCTGTTTGTATTCGAACTCTTTCTGTTTGCAGACAAACCAAGTGGTATCGTCCCTTAGCAGTTCAACGATCCAGTCAATTGCCGTCGTCGTCAAATGTTGCACATCTGGTAGATACATTTCTAACAGCACAAGCTGTCCTAGATGCTGAGCAAACAATCTCGAAAGCCGTTGAACCAATGCTTCCTATTACTTTGTCAGATTCTTTACAGGTTATTTGTCTGGGATTTAGTTCTTACAGTATCTTTCCTGAAAATAACGTAACGATCCTGCAGTTAACCTTTGGAAGAAAGCTGACGATGTTAGCTTTATTTCTATCCCATGATCTGAATTGCTTTGTGACATTTCTTTACTGTGATCGATGGTTAGATCATCACGTGTATATGTTTTCTGGCTAGCACTTGCTTCTCACTGTTTACGAGATACATTCTATGTGGCCTTATTATCCCTTAATCATTATCACTTAGAGGATTTTTTGTGAAAAAACATATTCTATAGTAAGAAGGAATAATACAGAAGGAATTAATTATAATTTAATGAAGAATGTTATTATTTGCTATTGTAAATCCTGTCATGATCCAATTTAACTTGTTTAATATTTTAATAAGAACAGCTATTGTCAAACTAATTAAATGAACTGGAAATGAATGGAGAGGAATTAATCTTGTACATGTGTCTTCCATTTAATAAAGCTTATTTGCTCTTCTTTCAGCAAAAGGGAGATACAGTGTTAGCTATTCCGGTTGGAAATGGCGATGAACGAAGTCAGTTCGCTAGTTTGTTTGTTATTTTGTTTCATTTGCTCTTTTTATTTAGTTTTGGTTTTAAATTCCCCCTTTTTTATCCACTATCGTTTAAACTTAATTCAAACTCGTAACTTTATTCCTTAACTGTGTTTCAAGTTACAGAAGGTGAATTCACAGCTAAATACGAGTTGCTTGATCCTACGTTTCATTCCTTCACAACCGCTGACCAAAATGAATTGAGCAGAAAGTAAGTTATTTTCGTTCTTTCCTTTTTCTGATTTTTTTGTAAGGAAGTGGATTCGATATGTTGAGAAAGTTAGCATGTGTCCTTTGCTGTGTGCGTTAAACCCTTAATTCCAATAAGTTTTTACCTTGATTATCTTTTCTGATACTACCCACCAATTATCAAGTCTTGCTAAGAAGAACGATATTTTAGTCCCATGTAACAGGTTTTAAAAGCTCTTCTTGATGACGGATTGTTGAAGAAATTTAAGAGCAAAAAATTTTTTTTTTGCAACCGTCTCAAAACTACTAAATATAAATGTCATCTGCCAATTGAGTAATGGGGAGATTCTGTCTTGATCATTAAAAATTTGTAATTTGTTAATTTATATTTCTTCACTTCTGGATCTTGACGAATTTACTTGGAGTTATACAAGAACCGCTTACAGCGTTGACGTGGATAACATTGCTATAGCTTCTGCTGCTGACAGTACAAAATCACCGGAAAATTATGACGAAAAGCAACCGGTATCGCCAACAGCATCTGTTGATGGCTTACCGCAGAGTAGTAACAATAGTATTACTGACCAAGCAATTCCTATTCTCAAGACACGAGTACGAACGCAACGTTATGAAGCATACAGAAATCCTCGTCGAATATGGAAACAGAAACAGTCGGCATTACATGTATGCTGGCAAGATAGTTGTTTTAAAATTCCATTCTGATAGATTTGTAAAACTGTCATAATTGTCTATAAAAAAAACTGACAGAATTGTCTACCAAAACTTTCTTATTCCACTTAGAAGTGGATGGATCCAAATCCCGATATGTCTTTATTGTATACTGTTCTAGTGAGTTTTAATATCCATCAGAAGTGCGTGTATATGATTAAAAGGTTTTTTTCTTGCAGCAAACTTCTGGCGTTTCAACGGGAGAGACAGTTGCAGAGATTTTGCGATCTGTGGTAAGACTTTTCTTTCCAGTTTATTTTTCTCAGTGGAGAATTCAAATTTTTCATGTAATGATTACATACTTTGTTCCATTCTGGATCATTTTGTAGATAATTTGTAGTAGGTAAATATTATTTCACATAGTTGAAAGGCTGCTTAGTTGGTAAAATACTATATATTGTTAATTGTCGAACTTTAGAGTATTCGGTACGATATTTTGAAGTGCTTGGATGGATATGAAAGTAAACACAATGAAGAAATAATACGTTGGCGTAAAAAATCTTTATGATAGCCGTTCTCTATATTTTGTTTAGACTATAAGTGTTTTGCAATTTGTTTTGTAATCTTATTTGTCATAATTTAATTGCAAGTTATTTTAGCGAGTTGCCTCAGACGGGTTACCACCATATAGCTTAAATTCGAACCCGCATCATCATTTGCAACAACCACAGCATTTTTCACCTCCTCCATCATGCGACAATTCTTCGAAATGGGATAATGTTGGTAGGGAGAACAACTCGTTTTCATATTATACCATTGCTCGACTTGCTTAGATTTTTAGCTTTCTGATCGTTTTTAAATGGAGATCCTGTCCACTTATTGAAGTGTTGTACTACAATTCAATTGTTTTGTACTCTTATGATTTGTAACATGCATTTTGTTTCCAAATAGTTGAACTGCGAATTTTTCGCTTTTTAAATTTTATGAATTTTTCTTGTAAGTTGATACTTGCAGGCCGGGTGTGGGTGGATATGATGAAAACGATACGATCGCCTCAACTAGCACTTGCAGCACACAAATATATCATGAACACTTTATTTTCTGTTCTGGAAGCTGATCAACAACTTGCTGGCACAGATCCGAACGCAACCCGTATCCGTATCAAAGACACTGCTCCACAAATCGAAATCATTATGCATCAGTGATGGGTTTTGCTTCGCTGAATTTTCTCTTCAATAGATGCATTCTCAAGTTGAATATATATTTGTACTACATGATTCAATGATGCCATAATTTCTTATTTTTTGACTATTTTGCAACCTGGATGGGTGAGACTTCTGCAAAAGCAAAATCAAAATTCTCAAACTCTTTAACTGTTGGCCGAAATTTTGCTATCATTATCGACCTTTTTGTTACCATTTCTTCACCGTTGGCCATTTAGCTATTTGCTTTCCCTTTTGATTAAATTCGAACGGAACAGCAAAAGCAAGCTTTGAATGGGTAGTCATATTGAAATCGAAAATTCATTTGCAAATTATTGATAATCGAACCATTTGTTTATTAGTAACTAACTTATTATTTGTTGTGATAACTGTCATAAGTCATAAGCAAGTCATGAAATTCAATCAATCATAAAATTTTAGTTTATTTAAATAAAAATATTTAACAATTATCACAAAAGAAGCGAATGCTCATTTATAACAGCAATGGAAGGGAACGAAAAGAGAAGTTTCGAAATAAAATCATAAATAATAACCCCTAGAATTTCACTCCTTAATAATTATTTTCGAAAAATTTTATTCTTTTTTCTTCTACATCATCGGGAAATTCTACATGAATCATTCGCTGCTTTTACAATCTTGCTAGAGAACTTCTTTGTATATATAAGTTATTGTTATTTTATGATTTAAAATATTTGCTGCACTTTGTTGCAATTTTCGCTTTGAAGTGAAAATCTTTTTGCTTTGAAGTGAAAATCTAAAAATGCTTTCTTTATCGTTTTGTAGTCAGATGGTAAAGATTGGTCTTTGCAAATTTTTTTCATGATATCATTATTGGATGACAGATTGTCCTATCGAGTTTAGTTTTTAGCAAGGCATTCAGATTTGAACTTTCAAATCATTATTTTAACCAGTCTTAATCTGTTATTCCACGAATAGATCTCATCCTATTTTATTTCTCTAACATTCTTTAACACTTCTGTTCTATCAAATTATTAATCATATTTATTTGTATTAAATTTGCAAAATCTGCCTATATATATATGTATGTATGTATGTATCTATGTATGTGAGTAATGTAATAAATATTTATTGAATCGTGAAATTTTAATGAAACATGATTAATATAGAAAGTATAAAAATGGGTCGAAGTGTATCTATCACTGTATTGTTATCAATATAACACTTCTTATTGTAAATGGATTAAAATCTTCATCGTTTCATTTAGCATCTTAAAAAAGGAAAGTTTCAGAGAATGAAAAAGCGATCTTTAATTGTTTCCTACTGTTAGTAAATCTTCAAGGTGTGGATGAAATAGGATATTAGGCTGAAATGGAGCAAAATGTCGCTTTTTGAAAATTTTCATTAAGGGTGCGATGACATCTAAATGTTCATTTGAACAATTTGTGAGCATTGCACCAAATCTGGCGTACTTAAGATTCAAGCACCTGAAATGTAAAGTCGAAATCAGGTATGAAGCTTTGACAAGTAAATTGGAAGTAATTCCAAATTGATAAGAGTAAAAGTAAGTTAGGTGTATTGAAATACATTCTGTAGTCTCGAAGAAAAATGGTCAACAAAAGAAAAATATCTGATTGATTTCAACGTGAAATGATTCTATGATTCTGATACAAGCGACACCTTAATTATATCTCGCATTGCTCCGAATAACATAAAAAATTGTCAAATGTATGCTGTCACATGTTTTACATATGTTGGAGATGTATGCTGTCACATGTCCTACATATGTTTGTTAGAGGGCATTTTAGTAATTTTCAAAATAAATCCAATGATACAACTTTTCGGAGAGAAAAAAACTAAGCTCTCACATATCATCCATTTTATTTCATATGTTCATAGTAACGAAGAGAAGTAATAAAATATTCATTTCAAAGGAATTTTCAAGTGAAAAATATATATGCTAGTTTAATAAACGTTGATGAGCATAAATTCGGAAATTCACTTCACACTTTCCCGTAAATTTAGAAATTCACTTCACACACTTCTCCGTAAATTCGGCAGTTCATTTCACACCTTCCCGTAAATTCGGCAGCTCATTTTACACTTCCCTATAAATTTGGCAGCTCACTTCACACTTTTCCGTAAATTCCGCAGTTCACTTTACACTTTCTTCTTCATTACATTCAATCACTTCATGAAATTTGAAAATAAATTTTACTTTCAGCAATAAAGTTTTCAAACTTCTTGAAGGGAGAATTAATTAAACTAATTGCAATAGAATGATTTCAAAGTTTTTGTTTTTACATCAAAAGGAAAAGGCAAGCTTTCACTCATTCGTCTCATAATTCATCATTCCATTTAATGTTAACTAATAATCTAATCACTAATAGATTAGTGGATTTCATTTTGGCCAAATTATTGTCAAATTTCCAAAATAAAAAATTTTTGAAGAATTAAGAGATAAACTGCAAAATGAATGATGATTCATCGGTTAGTAGAAACCTGCCATATCAATTAAGTTGTTGAGAATTGCTGATAAAATAGTTTACTCAACAGATTGCTATTGCTGATTTATAATGAAGTACACTTATGATGTCGCAGAAGAACATTACTAGCTGATATGATAGCATTAGCATTAACATCTCTCTTTTATCGCATGCTTCGAAACTCGAAATAAGTGTTGCAAAACTCGAAATAATTTATAGCAAATATGTTTAAATAATAAAAATAATTTATTGCAGGAGTACTTCTCATTTAAATGATTCATCATATAAATTATAATTTAATGAATGTTACAATATTCAATATGATGAAACATTTAGCTAATTCTCATCCGATTATCATGCTTATCTTTGATAACTAAATTACCGGAAACTAATTCACATATAATATATTTCCGGATTATTAACCAATTAATTGTTGTACTGTTAATCAGCTCTTCCTTTACACAGCCATTCTTTATGTTCTTATCTATCTTAATATCCAATAGGATTTTATCAGAACTCCAACTCTTTCCATTTTTTTCTCTCTCTCTCTCTCTCTCTCTTTCTCTCTCTGTATATATATACAAAAAGGTGAAAAGTGGAAGATTATTACTTCTTTAACCTTATCCTTTACATCTTATCCTATTGCTTCTTCGACCTTAATCTTTACATCGTATCAGACAACAAAACCATCGATAAAAAATATTTTGATATACTGATACTATATTATGTTATACTGCATTACTACTACTATCCACATACAAGTGAATCTCTTCTATGCATTACTGCTGCAACAAACAGTTCCGAGTTATATTCTCAATAGGCAGTTTCGAAAAGCTTCCCAACTGATCGATTCTTCACTAATAATTCTCCTATAACTTCGAGCAACAAAAGCTTCTCTAAAAAGAAATTCAATCTTTACCAACTATTTAATACAAAATACCAATACAAAAACTCTTCTCCAAAATAAGCTTTAAAAAATTCACAGCAAATATGTCAAAATTTAAGGAAACAAATTTTACATGAAATTAAATCGAGCAAACATGAAAAATGCATTTGAAGATCTTCGACAATAAAACTACTACGTATTATATTTGTGATGAAAAGTTCGTCGTCTAAACGATCTTTCATTTTATTATCAATTTTTGTATAGCAAAAGTCCAAATTTAACTTGGCTATTTTTACCTTTGATCGAAGACGAAATTTTCATCACAGACATCGATCGATATGGAATGCTTTCAAGACAAAAGAATGTAACAAGATACTGCCGTTCCGCGATAAAATTTATATATCTTCGATTATGATTTTTTGAATTTGCATATTTTATTTTATAGCACACAAAAAAAAGTGAAAGTTTTCGCTTTTATTGGGCAGAATATGATGAGCATTTCAAAATTCCAATGATACTTTAGGGTGGCAACGAATGTATCATAGATGCAAAATACATCATGTAGCTTCTATAGTTCTCTCTATGATTCATTCTTATGGAACAGCATAGCAAAATTATTTGCTAGAACGGTTTTCCATTCAATTTTGTGGTTGTCTGCAGCTTCCTTGAAGTGTCATTGATACCATACGCCGTTCATTTTACTGTTATATTTGATGTTACAGATTTACCAGATGGAATAGATAGGTTTGTCGAAATCTGCAGAACTTTTCTGTTGCTTTAAAGAGTTGAATCTGTCAACTTTATTCATGTTACAGATTTATCAGATCGAATAGGTTTTACCAGATCGAATATAATTTAAAAAGTAAGGAAATGACATGTGTAATTTAATTCAACGAAGTTATTGCCATATTTTTCAATGCTATCAATCTTCCAACAGGCTTATGCTGAATGTTAATCATGGACTCTGCTAAATCGTGCAGTTGATTAGTTTTGACAGTTATTGTTGCGAATAATTTACATATCGATTTAGTCTCATTTGACTTACTAATAATTATTTAGATTGCACTTACTGATTTTTGAAAAACTCATTTTTCAATTTACCAATAATCTTTCAATAATAATTGATGATATATGCGTTATTTTAATGAGCAATTATTATACGCATCGCTTTCAGATGAATTTTCACTGTATCTGATTTTGCGACTGATATAAAACTGTCAATTTATAACAGCTATGATCTGCTTACTGTATTTCATAGTTGATTTCATCATTTTCCCTGATAATTTGATATTTTTTTTTTAAAAATTTTTTAGCGATGAATTACTGTGCACTTTCAGAACAGGATGCATCACACCAAAGAGGAATACAGAAAAGAGAAAAATCTGTGCGAGCATTTTCAGTAGTTCGTCATTTTGGCTCTTGAGTGCCTGAATCTGCAACATCTGAATCTGTAATATCAGAGAATAATGATTGAATTTGTAATATCTGAATCTAAAATTCTTGAATATACAATATCAGAGACATCAGCAAGATGCGCATTTTTCGAGGTTTGTAAAATTTTATTCATTCACATAATTTTTTATTCAATAATAATTCTAAAATATATTAAATGGATCTTTCTCTAAATGTTTTACAATTTTCACTTATGAATA